CCTCCGCGGGCCTCAGTCCCCTCCCCTCCACGGGCCCCCTCCCCTCCCCTCCTCGGGCTGCGGTTTCCTCCCCTCCCCGGGCCTTGGCCCCCTCCCTCGCCGGCCTGAATCTGGGGTTCGGGGAAAAGACCTAGAGTGAAACTCGGGCGTCTTCGACATGCCGGCGGTGGGAAAGCTGGGCGCTCCGCTGGCTTGCCCGTGGGCAGTTTCGTTTGTTTGGGTCCTTTCGGGACCGCCCCCCTGCAGTCGGGGCTCGTCGCCTGCGTGGCCTCGCCCTGCCGTACGTGCTGCCGCAGTGGGCTCCGCGGATACTGCGCGCCCGGCGTGCTGCGGACCGTCCTCGTCCACGTTCGGTTCGCTCTCTGGCGCGAGAGTCCGGCTCTTTGCGGGGGTAAATGATACTTCTAAGGACCGTGAGAGGAGGGTGGAATTCTAGCAGCAGAAAGCAGAGTTGAGCCCACCGAGGAATCTCAGGGCTGACGGGGCCCGTAGGGATGACTGCTTTTTCTTGTTGTGGTTTTACAGCTGACGAGACGGGTCCCAGGAAGGCCCAGCGCTGCTGAGAACACGGGGGGAGGCAGAAGCCAGCTGGGAACGCGGGCCTGTGGACAGCAGGTGCCGCGCTCCCCCGCCCTGGTGGCTGCTGCTTGCTTACCTTCTCTCATCCTCTTGAGAAAGCTTTGGCCGTCTTTGTCTTTTTCTTTTTTTTAAGATCCTATTTGTCAGACAGCGAGAGCACAAGCAGGGGGAGTGGCAGGCAGAGGGAGAAGCAGGCTCCCCGCCGAGCAGGGAGCCCCATTCCGGACTCCATCCCAGGGCCCGGGATCATGACCTGAGCTGAAAGCAGACGCTTAACCGACTGAGCCACCCAGGCGCCCCCTTCGTTGGCATCTTGAGTGAATGGCAGGCGGATTTGTCCAGTTACATAGTCCGCCCTGTAACTGTCGGACACCGAGACTACAGGTTGCCCAGATGCTAAAGCTGAACGATGTGTGTGTCCAGTAGGGCATGGGACTAAGAGATTAGGGTTTGGAGTGTCTTTTTTTTTTTTTTGATTTCCTTTTTAATTTTTAGTTTTCTATTTTGAAATCATTTTAGACGTAAAAAATTACAAAAAGAGTATGACGCAGATACACACATGTGAAAAGATGCTCAACGTTTCCAGCCAATAGTGAAATACAAATTAAACCTAAAATGAGATATGACACCCATTAAAATGGCTAAAATAAAAATACCACAAGGTGCTGGTGGAAATGTTGAGAAAACTGGGTCTCTCATTTACTGCTGGTGGAAATAATAAAGGTTCAGCTACTCCAAAATCAGTCTGGCAGTTGCTCAAAAACGTACTGTGCACTGGTTTCCTGGGCATTTATCCTAGAGAAGTGAAACCTTATTTTTACACAAAAACCATGCGTGAATGCTTATAACTAGTTGTAATTGTAGTGTTCAAACACTGGAAGCAACCCAAATGTCTCCCGAGGGCTGAATGGCTAAACGGACTGTGGCACATTCACACCATGGAGTGCTACTCAGGGGTGAGAAGGAAGGAAGTGCTGGTGGGTCTCCAGGGCATTATGCTGAGTGAAAAAAGGCAGTCTGAGAAGGTTTATAATGTATGATTCCATTTATAATAACATTCTTGAAAAATTACAGCAATAGAGAACAAATTAGTGATTGCCAGGGTTTGGGGACAGGGGAGGAGGTTGGGTGTGACTAAGGGGGTGGCAGGAGATCTTTGTTCTGGTGGAACAGTTAAATGGTTGATTATGAGTTTATACGTGTGGTGGACGGTCATGGAATGCCATACAAAGGCAGCAGAGTGATGCAGGCACTTTCCTGATGCGCTGCAGCGTGTAGGATGTCACCAGTGAGGGACACTAGGAACCGTCCATACTATTTTTCAACTTGAGTTTGTAATTTTTTCAAAATATAGTTAGATCCGGTATACCATTCACTTGGATTCCCTAATGTTAGTATCTTACATAATCACTGTAAGTAGGACAAGCCGCAACCTTAGTCTGGGGCCCTTTACAGAAGTTTGCTGACCCCTGTTCTGGCCTCCCCCTCCCCTTGCTTGTAGCTCCCTTCTCTTGGTGAGGAACCTGGCTTTCCTTAGCCACTATCTATCTAGTTATTTGCTGATTCCTAGAGTAGGCGTAAAGTAGCTTCAGAATTGCTGACCTGTAGAGTGCATAGTCACATGCTGTTTTTCGTTTACTAGGTTAGTTCTCTCCCACCCGTTTCTAATTTGTAATGCAGTTGAGCTCATTTGTTCTGGTTTGTATTCCACTTGGGGGGCCTTCCGCCATCTTTTTGTTTATTATTTTTTAGTATGTGAATCACAGACATGTTTCTAAAAGTCAGAACATACGAAGTGATACTCAGGATTGCCCTCGGGACACCTGGGTGGCTCAGTCGGTTAAGCATCAGGTCTTGATCTCAGGGTCCTGGGATCGAGCCCCCACGCCGGGCTCTCTGCTCCCCAGGGAGCCTGCTTCTCCCTCTCCTTCTGCTGCTACCCCTGCTTGTGCTTTCTCTCTGTCAAATAAATAAATTAAAAAAACAAAAGCAAAAATTTGAACCTTAAAAAAAAAAAAAGTGTTGCCCTCCCCTGGGCTGGCCCTCTGTCCATTCTTCGAATCCAGTTTCCACCCTCCACCCCCAACAGGGACCCAAGCTCATTAGTTTCTGCTTTATTCTTCTTTTTGTACACATGACCAAATACTTGTGTATTGTATTACAAATATTAATGTATTAATAAGTGTATTAAAACACATGTTTTTGTTTTTATTCAAATTGACTTTCTAGCAGAGTAATAAGCCTGTGTTACTTGATAACTTAGTAACCAGAACTGACAGTTATGGATAATTTGTCAGTGTCAAACACAGCAGCACAGATTTAACATGCAGTAGTTTATCTAATTTACATTGCAGCCTAAGAAGTAGAGCTGTTGTTATGTCCATTTTATAGATGAGGAAACAGGCTTGGCGTTTGCGTGACTTGTCCAAGGTCACACGGTTAGTGCTGTGACTTAATGTAATTGTTCTATTTAGTGCCTGCAAGGACAAAACCCCCTTCAGACTAGCCCGGGATAGAAAGGTAGTAGCTTTAGAGCAAAGACACGGGAATGGTATGAAAACTGGACTTCTGTAGGAATGGATGCAATTCCTCTGTTTATTCAGAGCATCTACCCAACTTGTCCCGACCCCTTGTGTGTGGTTTTTACCTACCCTGTGCCTTTCATACCAGTTTCCTATCACTGGGCCACCTCTGTTGCTCTTATATCCAGGTACAGGGGGAATCTGCTTAGGTACCCTCCCTGGGTAGAATCCTGTGATCAGTAGGCCTCCCCCTTCAAGTTCTTTGGCAGCTTTTTGGGGCTGTGCGGTACATTCATTGTTTAAAAGGCTAATATCCCCTTTGCAAATAAGTAACAGCCATTTTTGAAACCTTGGAGTTGGGTGAGGGGAGGTGGCGTTAAAAGTTAAAAAAAAAAAAAAAATACACAGGGGCCCCTGGGAAGCTCAGTCCATTGAGCTCTGGCTCTTGATCTCAGCTCAGATCTTGATTTCAGAGTCACGAGTTCCCTGTATTGATCTCCATGCTGGGCGTGGAGCCTACTTAAAAAAAGTAAATAAAAGAAATACACAGAAATAGGGTAATATAATGAACTCCTTGCTTGTAGTCATCATCCAGCTACAACAGGTATTGATACTTTGTGAATCTTATTTTATCTGTCACTGCTCCTCCTTTTGTTCTCCTGCTAGAGTAATTTTTTTTTAAGATTTATTTATTTTAGAGGGAGAGAGAATCTCAGGCAGACTCCCACTGACCTCAGAGCCTCACGTGGGGCTCAGTCTCACGACCCCAAGATCATGACCTGAGCCGAAATCAAGAGTCAGACACTTAACCAACTGAGCCACCCAGGTGCTCCTAGAATAATTCAAAGTTAATCTTGAATGTTCCATCATTTCATCTGAAAATACCTCTTAAAACTCTCTACTCCTTGGTTTCATTGATACATTACTGTGTGCAATTCTTTCTTCATCCCTTTTAGGAGTTTCTCTTTCTCTCCTATCTTTTAATCCTTTGTGTTTGTTCCTTGTTATACCTGGTGTATTATTGGTATTATAATCACCATCCATGTGCTTATGACTCTCAGATCTGTTACCGACTCTGAACTTAGAATCTTGGACTTGAAAATTGAAATGCCCAGTTGGTGGCAGTAAGGTATTTCTGATGCTACCATGCCTAAGTCTCCATCTATTTCTAGTACTCTCTGTCTCAGGTGGAGTCACTCATAGGCATGTAGACTGGAGATCTGGGTGTTACTCTAGGCTGACTGCAATCCCTCAAACCCCTCCCCATGGCATCTGATCCATCTGTCCTTAAGTTTTTCTAATCTGAGCCCTTGTTTCCAGCCTCATTACCTCAGCACTAGTCTTTTTCCCCCTTATTTCTTACCTTCTTCCCACTTCTTGCTGACCATGCTTACACCTATGATCCATAGGTTTAACTGCTCTTTCTCCAAAGGTATTGACTGAAGCTCTTGCTGTAGCTCAAATCCACTTGTTGGGTAGCTGTGTAACTTGAACAAGTTACTTAGTGTCTCTGTGATCCAGGTTCTTCATCTATCAAGTGGTGGGTGAACAGTAATGATAACCTGCCACACGGAAAAATTGTAGTGCGGGAAAGACCCCCCCAAGATGTTAAACGTTAGCTACTCGTTATTAGTATTAGCAGGATGACTGCCAGAGCTATCTTTGTGGCTTCTCTGGCTAAATCTTTGCATAATTTCCCTTTATTTATGGAATAAAGTTCAAATATATCTGTAGGATATATTTCTGGAGTTGGAATTTTGATGGATATTGTTCACTTGCCTTCCTTGGGTTTGTTCCACATTACACTCTAGCAACAAATGAGCATGCCTGTTTCCCCAGTGTGCTTACCTTCCTAGAATGTTAGTGTGATCGTATCACGTAATAGTACCAGGTTCTAACATTCTTATCCAGATGAACCAGAAATTGCTTATTTTAATTTTGTTTAGATTATTATCAATTTGGAAACCAAAAACTTCAGAAAGTTCTCATAGAGGGCTTATAGACTACAAAAAATATGGAGAAACACTGGATTGAAATGAAACTGAAGCCAGTTTTTTTGCTACTGTTGTGTGGTTTTTTTTGTTTTGTTCTGCTTTTTAATAAGAAAAGATGTACTTATAACCATCAAATTGATTTTTGTTGTCTTGGGCCTAGGTGAAATGACAATGGATGCCATCTTGGCGCGACTGAAACTCCTGAATCCCGATGACCTTAGAGAAGAAATTGTGAAAGCCGGATTGAAATGTGGACCCATTACATCAACCACAAGGTTCATTTTTGAGAAAAAATTGGCTCAGGCTTTATTAGAGCATGGAAGAACACTGCCTTCACATCCTCCTGGCCTCGACACCTCAGGTGCCACTACTCTAAGCCAAGATGCACAAAGGATTTTGAAGTCTGCTGTAGGGAGCCAGGTTGAGCAGGTCGGCTTGTCTGAAGACAGAGATTTTGGCTATAGCATGGGCTTGAATCCTCCAGAGGAAGATGTCGTGACATCTAAGACCTGCTCCATGACCTTCAGTGCCGCCACTGGGGTCAATGGCCACAAAGCTGTAGCGAGGGCGCCTACGGAGCCGCCTCTGTACTACGGGGTGTGCCCGGCGTACGAGGACACCCCAGCGAGAAATGGTAATGTAACAAGCACCTGGTGTTTCTTTTTTTTTAAGACTTTATTTATTTATTTGTCAGAGATAGAGAGACAGAGAGATCACAGGCAGGGGGAGCAGGCAGAGGGAGAAGCAGGCTTCCTGCTAAGCAGGGAGTCTGATGCGGGGCTCCATCCCAGGACCCTGGGATCATGACCTGAGCCAAAGGCAGACGCTTAATGACTGAGCCACCCAGGAGCCCCGCACCTGGTGTTTCTTACACAGGTGGTTTGTGGACAGCAAGGGGGGGTGATTTTGAAAATCTCAAATCACAGAGAAGAAAAGAATTTAATCACCGTAATTTCACCACCCCAGGTGAACCATTGTTAACATTTTTATGTAGAACTCTGCTGAATTATTTGTAAATGTGTATGTGAATTTTTAAAAATGAAGAACATTGGATTCTGTGAGACATGCTTCACCTTATAAATAGTTTTTGGCTAGCTTCCATTTGCTGATTAATTATTTCCCTCTTTTTTTTTTTATTCAATAGAATCTGAACACCTTTTATGTTAATATAAATGGCTAATGCAGCTATAAGTAGTTTTCAGCATCAAAGAATTGCCATTTTTTTAAAAAAAGATTTTATTTATTTGAGAGAGAGAGAGTGAATGAGCGAGCTTGTGCGAGTGAGCGTGAGTGGGGGGAGGGACAGAGGGAAGGGGAGAAGCAGGCTGTCCTTTGACAGGGAGCGGGGCCACATCTCAGGACCCTGGGATCATGACCTGAGTTGAGGTCAGACGCTGAACCGACTGAGCCCCCCAGGTGCCCTGACGAATTCCAATTTTAAACAAGACTGAAGTAGATTTAGCACTGGAAAGAGTTAAATAAAAGCCTGATGTTGAATGTCAGAAATTATAGACTATCATTATTGTGATATCATTTGTGGTGGTACCCCAAAATAGATTTGTTAGACATATTATGTACCATGAGTAGAATGGAATATTATTCAGCCATAACAAATTTTTTTTTTTTTTTTAAGATTTTATTTATTTATTCATGAGAGACAGAGAGAGAGAGAGAGGCAGAGGGAGAAGCAGGCTCCCAAGGAGCAGAGAGCCCGATGTGGGA